ACCGATTCGTTTTGTAAAGCGGGAGCGAGAAAAAACGTTACAAGAGCGAGCAGCATGATTTCTTGCCTATGCTTATGCCTGTGCCGCAGAGACGCGCGGTATCTTCGCGTATGCCGAAGCGGCACGCTTTCGAAGTTTACGATTGTGCGATGTAAATAAAGTGAGTTTGGACGTCGCGTTTTTACGGGGCAGCGAAAGCCGCTACAAAAAGCAAAAAGCAAAAGTATAAAAAAATGCGAAAAGATCCTGAATATTCGATGGTGTTGAAAGACTACCAACGTACCGACTCGCCCAGTTATTATTTCTGTAAAAAAATGATAGCCAATAGTAATAAATGAAATAAATACCAACTTTTAATTGGTTATAAATCATGTGTAATTCATGCAGTACAGCCTTCCCTGCTCTGTTGCTTTCATGATATCAGGTAATGTGTAAATGTATAGGATAGTTGACAGGAACAATTAATGTCCGACCCATTATATTGTATGTTTTCTCTAAATGCTTGAAGTTATATAAAAAATGCTCATCGTAAATTAAGCCGCACCACTGAATGTACAATAGCTTGTGACTTTTATGTATGTTCCCAGCAAAAGAAAAAGATGCATTCAAAAAGGGCCAATTATTGCGTTTCCTCTCTGTTAAAGCTTTTTTCGGGTGCACTCAAAACTTGGGTGTCTACGTCTAAAAGAGTGGAATTGACATTTCCCGCAGGGCTGGCAGGCCTGACCCAGTTTGGCTGGCAGCTTGCAACCTATGGGAACCTGGGGAACTGAACCACAAGAGTAAGAGTGACGCCCACCCTGCACTTCCTCTACGATGGCTCCATAAGGAAGAGGGAGCTGCCCCCAAAGTGAATGCAATGGCAGGTGGGTCGTTACAGTGAACCCCCATACAGATGATACCAAACAGAAAATCATTAAAAATGAATTATTATTAGAAACAAAGAACGGGAGTCGCACAGACAAGGAGGAGGAGATGAACACAGTGCTGTGTGATGTCCATATGCTCTGTTCCCATATTCTTCACAATTCATTTTAATAATTGTCTACCAACTGGTCCAATCATCAGCACTAGCCAACAAGAGTATGCTGCTATTTTTTACTCTGCATTAACACTGTGCTTACAGTTAAATCCTACAGTAATGAACAAACAAAAAAATGGGAGCAAGCCAGGCACGTAACCAAAATCTTGATTCGGCGGCACCCATGACAAAATGCTGTATGAGGGGGATGGGGGAGAAGAGGCCCCAGCAAAATGGAAGACTGGGGAGGGGGGGGGGAAGCGGAGAGGGGATGGGCTTTCGTTATCTTTTGAGTAGGACAGGCACTGGCAGTGCCTCTGTGCTACTGGGGAAGCTGGAGTTCATATCCTTCAAATTAATTGGATCCAAAAAGCTATAATATGTATTAGCGGCTGAGAAACTGCCCTGGAGGAATGCGGGCAGATGATAACAAAATTGAATGCACACACGACAGAACAATAATACAGAAAAACAAGACGGAAAGAATAATCCACTACCGATGGAGTTGCAATGCAGTTGCTTTCATTTTGTGCGTTGTGATGTCGTTGGGCTCCCTGAAGCAATTAGCTAGACATGTCAGTTTGTACTGGGCAAAAGACGATGAAGGAGCATTTTTTTTGTTGCTATTTATGACCTTCCATTTCAGCTTCTTCACATAAAAGGAATCCTTAGAATCCCTGTATTGGTGGTTTGGGCAACCTAGGCAATAAGGAGAGAATTATGTTACTAGTGCATTATGTTTTAATTGAACAAGGCAGAACCAGTTTGTGCTGCAGTGGCGTCACATAATGCCGAATGCACGTGACTTGCGACGCATTGGCGATGCCTCATGAAGCAACTACGATGGGTCAGACCCGCTATGTCTTTTTTAAGGCAAAATGAATATTATAATCAGGGAGCTGCACCAGTTATCTATTAAGGTACTTTTTATTTAATATTGCAGATAAACAAGGAACATCTGAAGTTATAATTATAAAGTATGGAATCATTAAGCAACGAAAACATCAAATCATCAACACACCCGCCATGAAGCGGTGGAACAGGGGGCGCACCACAGTAGCTCTCAGCAGTAAAGGCGCACTTGAGCAGTTGTCACAGCTGTGCAGTGGCTGCGATTACACCTGTGTGATCGCAGGAAACTTTGCGTAGAACCAAGCTCCTTAATTTTGTGCAACAGGTGGTTATGGGACTAATGCAACAAATGCTCGCCAATCTGTGCCTTCGACTCGCCGGGCGCTGTAAGTAGGCATGCTCGGAACATTTGCGTGGTCTTGGTCGTCTTCTGCTGCCCCTGATACCGGCTGGAGTCAAGAGTCTTCGCCAGTGCGCTTTAGACGCTTACAAGAAGTATGTTTGTACAGCACTGCATCCAGCTCCACACTTATTTTAGTACCCGAAGCTCCAACTTCGATGGACCTTGCAAATCATGTCGGCAAGCGCCGTGGAAGGCGAGCCCTCCACGGCGCCAAGGGCATGAAAACTGTAGAGAATTTCTACTAATCTTATACTGGAACGGTGCTACTATTTTTCAGACATCTTGGCAGTAGCGGCTACGATGATCGTGGTTTACAATGTCAAGGAAACCATGGCACTGTCACATCTGTTTGTTGGAGAGGAGGTAAGCTCTCAACTATCCTTTGTAGCATAGGTTGCAACATGTAACCTAGCGCTTTTATGAACTCCCTTGCGCACAGTCTTTCTAAGCAAATGTTTAGGCAACATTGGGGCACATATGCAATTGTGAATGTATCCATCTTATTAAAGTTTTCCATTTTCTTTTTTTTTTAATGGCAGCCAAGCATGCAGTACATTACAAACTAGCACCTTTCTTGCACAACAGATAGAGCCATGTTCCATGCTTGTACCTAGTTTAGCCTTCATCTAGATCATAGTTTAGCAAAGTTATGCAGTTGGAGGTGATGTTTAGAAGTCGCATGGTCTCGGGGGGGCCAATACGATGCTGATGGCACTGCTTCACATGTTTGACTACAATTTCGACAAACAAGCTTTCTAATCACTGCACGGCACACTCTTCTAGAAAGGTACAAAAGATCCAGTGGCTGTCTTTCCTGACACACTGATGGTTGGAAATATCATGGCCAAAAGTAGTTTCCACAAGATTTCTAACCATCTAAAGCAAAATATTTTGGCCAAAATGTACATGGGAGGTGAAGTAATTGCAGATCAGGAGATCTCACAAGGAGAATGTGGGCTCCTGTTGACTGATTCTGGCTTTTTTGCAATGAGCAAGCCAAAGCGACGTTTACGTCTCTATGTGGAACCAGACTTCTGGCTAGCATTGCCGAAATTTTACTAATCGCAGAGATAATGCAGGTGTCCTTGTTGCACTGATGATCTTGCATATTTTTCAGTGCTGGGAAAGCATGATTTACTGCCACTTGTCTAAGTTGCATTCTGTACACGTGTAATCAGGCCTGCAGGGGGTGGGGGTATTACATATTTAACATAGATCAAGTGACTATAGCAAATAACAGTGGACTAGCTCGCTGGTAGATAGTAATATATTAACTGTGATGATTTAGAGGACACTATCACGCATGGTTCCTGCCTTACATTGCATTGATTTTGTTTGCTAACACAGGAGCAAGACATCCCGGCAATGCCGTGCGTCGTGTACTCTGGCAATGACGCCGAGAAGGCTGACTTTTTGTACCTCGCTGTCGATAAGCAGCGGTTTTTGTCCGTGAAGAATGCAGAGGACGACATCACTGCCATCATGGTGGCTTACTGGCTTTTTAATATAAGTACTCAAAAAAGGCGGCAAACACAGTTGCTCTTCTAGAACGGTTGTTTGTCGGCCTCAGCAGCACTACTCCGACGCCAGTTGTGATGAAATTTCTGAACAAGGTTGCAAGAGCGTAAAATCAATGAGGCCGACAAACAACCGTTCTAGTACCAAAGGGATGCTGAACCGAGATTTGGATGGCACGAAACCAGGCAGGAGCACTAGGTGGGATGCTGCAAACCTTAGAACATAACTCATATGACGGTATCTTGTATGGATGGCAGTACTTTTTGGAAAATATGAGCATGATTGAACAAAGCTTGCGACATCTGTATTCTCCCTTTCTCTTTTTCAAAAATATGCCCATCCAGTTGAGATACTGCTGCATGAGTGGTGTTTTGGGGTCTGTAGCATCCCACTGTGTGCTTCTGGTGCCTTGTTTTGTGAAGTCAAATTTCAGTACCAACACCCATTTAACTTTTAACTTTCTAACTCTAAACTAAAATAAATGTACCATACTTTCCAGACTATAGTGCACAATCTATACATGTCTAAAGGTTGATATTTTACACCGTACAGTCTATCTACAGGTACACCTAGCAGAGCGCGTTGGATAGAGTACAGTTCACACTGAAAGAATAAAAACACACAGAAAATACACGAGGGACAGATACACACAGTTCTTTCAACGAGCAACTACATTTAAATGATGCCCATTACACTATGATGAACCACCTAGGATATGAAGAAAATTAAGTGAAGACGAAAATACTAGAAGGTACTAGAAAAAGATAAAGAAAAAGGTAAAGATGGCGGAAATTTAACTTCCTGAAAAGGAAGAAGAAGAAGAGAAACGGGAGATGTTTTCTATGACAATTCCGGCGCTAGGAAATTCATCTCTGCTGTCGATAACGATAGTGAGGGCTCAGAAACATTGTCTGTGGCAGTTTTGATCTTAAAGGCTTCGATGATCTCTCGCCCATACTTGTCGTTGTGTAAGCCTAGCACAGTAGTGTTTGCATAGCTAGGAGAGCAATCTTGGCAGGTGCGGGCGTGGACAACAATCGGATGGTAGGAGTCGGATGACGCCTTGTTGGTTTCAAGAAAATGTTCTCTAAGGCGAACGTTCAGGCATCGTCCCGTCTGGCCAATGTATTGACTGCCACAACTGAGCGGAATAGAATAAATTGGCTTCTCTCGGCATTTGACGTATTTGTTGACATGTTTGATGGTGCATTAGGCTAATGGAAAATCTGCTCCCTGGTCTCATGACTCACTTCTTTGGTTCTGGGTATGGGTCTCATCCTTCGTTCATCTTTCTTCAAACCTCAGCTACCAGAATGCTGGAATCTGCACGGAACACCATCGTTACATCGATGAATGCATCATGCCGCAAACCTAGCAAAGCAGTGTTTGACCCTCCGGTCATCCTTTGTGACCAACAACTTTCCCCTGGTACCTTGGAAGTGCTTTCATATGGTCCCAAGTTTTCTCCAAATCTTCCCACCTCAAGAGTTGACCAATTAACTTCGGTACATAAAGTTGCCTCGCATATTCCAGAACAGGGGAGGTCGGAGTTTCTGAACGCGGCAGTTCGCTCTGTCCGCTACCACCCCCCTCCGAAAGCAGGCAAGTTCCCGATTCGGAAAGCACTTGAAGAGCTGCGACAGGGGAAACTCAAATTGCTCGAATCAGACAAGACCGGTGTTTTCGTGGTCATGGATCAAGGAACCTATGGAGAGAAGGTCACGAATGCACTGGAAAAGAACTTTGATAAACTAAAGAAGAGGCCATCAGGATCTCTACGCGCAGAGGCAAAAAGACTGTGCACTTTGATGAATCTGCCCGCTCTCAAGAAAACGCTCAGTTCACCTGCAAAACAGTATTTTTCCGTATTTTTCACAGCCAAGACACATAAGGAAGGAGTACCGCTCAGAAGCATTGTATCTGAAAGAGGTTGCTGGCAGAAACCCTTGGCCTTATTCCTACAAAAACATCTCTCCACGGTGACGCTCCTCCAGCCCTTTAGGATTTCAAACTCCACAGATCTTATCTCGCACCTTACCTCCCTACACTCCACCAGCCAGCCACCCTCCATGTTTTCTTTAGACATAGAAGAGCTTTACTACAGCCTAGACCCCCAGATTCTCTTGAATTCCGTGTCTGATGCGATCCACGAACATGGTCTCTGTAAGTTTCAAAATACCTCAGGGATCACAGCTAAGGATTTCATAGATCTCATTGCCTTATACCTTCAGTCAACTCTCGTTGAATACAACGGCAACATATTAAGACAAAAGAAGGGTGTTTGTATAGGCTCCTGCCTAGCCCCAATACTCAGTGAAGTGTTTCTCATGTACGTAGACCGATCAATTAAGTCCCGACTGGATGTTTTCGCCCCCGAATGCCGAGTGTTTCGATACGTAGACGACTATCTTGTTATTCATCCGACCTCAATCTCCTCACGGGCCATTTGTGAAGCATTCGATTCCTGCTCGTCGGGTCTTAGGTTTACGAGTGAAGAACCAACAGAAGAGGGACTCCAGTATCTGGATTTAAGGCTTCATCTTCATCGCCAAGGCATATGCTGGAGTTTCCAGCAACGTTCCAAAAAACCGGTCCTCCCTTTCTGCAGCAACTACTCTAAATTGGTAAAGCTTGAAATTATTCGAACCCTGTTTGCCTCTTCCCGTTCAAAATCCTGTCCCCATCTCTCATCAACAAGCGTCCAACGCCAGCATGACCGGCTTCTCCGAGCCGGGTATCCAGCAGACCTCCTCCGTACTACCCTTCAGCGTCTCATTACAGGGCCCAACCACCGATCATCTAACAACAATGGACGCAGCCACACACGCCCGGCCTGTGTTCCATATGTGCATAATACTTCCCACCGCCTGAGGAGTCTCGCTGCCCGCTTCGATACTAAGGTAGTATTCACATGTCGGATGAAGCTAAAACAAATGTGCCAAAGGGTAAATAACGACGGTCGTCCACCAGAATGCACCATCAAACACGTCAACAAATACGTCAAATGCCGAGAGAAGCCAATTTATTCTATTCCGCTCAGTTGTGGCAGTCAATACATTGGCCAGACGGGACGATGCCTGAACGTTCGCCTTAGAGAACACTTTCTTGAAACCAACAAGGCGTCATCCGACTCCTACCATCCGATTGTTGTCCACGCCCGCACCTGCCAAGATTGCTCTCCTAGCTATGCAAACACTACTGTGCTAGGCTCACACAACGACAAGTATGGGCGAGAGATCATCGAAGCCTTTAAGATCAAAACTGCCACAGACAATGTTTCTGAGCCCTCACTATCGTTATCGACAGCAGAGATGGATTTCCTAGCGCCGGAATTGTCATAGAAAACATCTCCCGTTTCTCTTCTTCTTCTTCCTTTTCAGGAAGTTAAATTTCCGCCATCTTTACCTTTTTCTTTATCTTTTTCTAGTACCTTCTAGTATTTTCGTCTTCACTTAATTTTCTTCATATCCTAGGTGGTTCATCATAGTGTAATGGGCATCATTTAAATGTAGTTGCTCGTTGAAAGAACTGTGTGTGTCTGTCCCTCGTGTATTTTCTGTGTTTTTATTCTTTCAGTGTGAACTGTACAGCTATCTACAGGTGTGGACTCTACAATTTTTGTTTCGAGATTGTTCATTATTACAAAACTGGTTAGGCCAGATTGCTGTGTTTTGGATATTTTACGCTGGGATAAAGTAATCAAGACAACCTCTTACCGTCAGTCTGTTTCCCAGGCTTTCGATACCTCGCATCTGACATGTTTGCTTGGGAGCCTGCAAGCAACCAACTCAGGTCAAGCTTAATCTTGAGGAGCTCTGCGATTGGCTGACGAGCGGATCACAGGAAACCCCCTGATATTCATCCGCAGATATCTTTTTTGTGGAGTTCTCCAGCCTGAAGTTTTCCCCGAGGACTATACACCGAGTGCGGACTATCTAAGAAAATACTTTTTTCTTTTTAGCCGAAATTTACCCTTGCGCATTATACAACGGATTGTGTACTATAGTCTGGAAAATATGGTAGCTTGTTTTAATGTTTTAAGCCCTAAACTAAAAGAAGTGTAGCTTGATTTTTATGCAACTTTAGGGTCCTGAATGAAAGTCGCATGTGCAATGGAACAAAAAGTATACACTCGAAACGGAAGGCATCTAGATTGTTCTTCTGTTCTAGTCATTTTTATCAAGAACCATTCTCATGTACTGAGGTAATCTGTATTGATTTTTGTTTTTTGTTTTTCTTATTTTTACTAGCATCGCCTATGCTGTGATATTTAAAGAAAATATATTTGGTTATTTGTATGGAGGACATAGCTGGTTATTTTGTTTTGCTCACATAATAGTTCAATAAATGATTATTCATTTAATTTGGCTTTTATTGACTCAAACCCCCCAATTGTTTCTTGATTTTTACTAGCATCTAGGCCTATATATGCTGTGATATTTGATAGAATGCCTCAAGTATTGTATTTTGATATGTGTGTGGAGGACATACCTCATTATTTTTTTGTGGTCGCATAATAGCTCAATAAATAGTTATTAATATAATTTTCCTTTCAGTTTTTTGTTTCTCATTTTATAACAACTTTTATTTACTTGCAGCTTAATCACATGCTGTTTGTATGCAGCTGATGCCACTCGCCATGCCTTGGGCGAATGTGTAAGGGTACTACGGCATACCAAGTATGACAACTCGTAACCACCTCGTATGCAAGGCAAATGACCGACGAGCCAGAGCGGGATGCAAGGACCAAGTATCCGGATTGAACAAGCTAAGCTCCTTGTTGTTTATGTTTGTACTATCGGGGAAAAATGAAATGCGAACAGAGGAGCGCGTGGCTCGCGGTACAGGCTGCGCCGCCTGGAAGTGAGCCTAGGCGCGAGAGTGCGTGGCCTACTGCGATGTGTTCACGCCCCTCCCTCTGCGCTACCCAAGCTTCGGCAGTGCGCCTCTTAGTGCGCTGAAAGCTATCACCGCTATCTTTGCTGGCTCAGCGCGTGCGGTGCAAAGAAGCTCGCCGCACTCGCCGAGCAGGCGAAGATAGCGGTGACAGCTTTCAGCGCACTGAGAGGCGCACTGGCGAAGCTGGGGGCGTGAACACATCGAAGTAGGCCACGCACCCTCGCCCCTAGGTTCACTTCCAGGCGGCGCAGCCTGTACCGCGAGCCACGCGCTCCTCTGTTCGCATTTCATTTTTCCCCGATAGTACCATACACTTTCTCACATTGCATAGTTTGCATGAGCAAGTGCTGATCATGCATGTGATGCATATCACACTTCTGTGTTGGCAGTTTGACAATTGGACACTTTTAATGACACATTGAGATTGGTGGCAGACTCCTTCTTTAATATGATGTTTGAGAATATCTCCAACTGATCTTTTCTAGTATACGAGTATTAAGACCATCGAGCAATTAATAAATTCAGAAGCTTTAGCCATGGAACAAATTCTGTGATATTTTTTTATTTTCCTTCCAAATTTTGTGGGAACTAAAACTTAAATCACGCAAGATTTTCCTGTAGCTTCCGTTTGCACATAAGTTAAGCTTCACATTGAAATATTACCTTTTCTGCCATGCACATCTTGCCTTCATTATCGGACAGTGCATCTATGCACAGCTGCTTCAGTAGTATGTGTGCCGATGCATTGCACACATATCAAATAATGAATCCGGTTTCTGTAACGAGGTCCTATGCTGGCACTGTACTTTTGCATCTCCTTATTTAATCACTTATCTGGTCTGCATACTTCGTGGTTTTCTGGTTGTCATGCCTGGTATAGTGAACCCTGTTTGACAGATGCTGAGATACAGGGTGATTCATTCTATTCGGAACAGATTCTTGTAAAATAAAACTTCTGTTTTATGCAAATTATCTTTTTACGGTTGAGTTATAGTTGTCCTGGCAGACACTTTATAGAGGCAAGATGACAGCTAAAAGTGGACTTATTGCATAAAATCCATGGATTAGCTTTTTAGTTACTGGTTTGATGACACCAGCACATATTGTGAAAATGGGGCAGTCACCTTAGACCAGCTTATTTTTCGTGAAATGAGCACTAACCTTAGAAAAACGATTGAGAAAGATTCTTGCACACAAAATGGGTTGTGAGATACAGTACTTTCTGGACCGCTACATTACCGCTGCCTTTGGTGAAATTATATTTTCTCTTTTTTTTTTGGCCTGTGTGCTCGTTTCAGGATTTATAAAAAAATGACTGGTTTAAGGAGGTGATTGTCTTCAAGTTCGCAACAGCTGTCGAACCAGTAATTGAAAAAGTTAATAAACTAATTTTAGATAATAGTCCACTTTTAGTGCCAGCCTGCCTGTACAAAGTGTCGGCTTGGCTAAGTGCTCATCTGTAACGAGATCATCGGTGTAAATAAGATAACTTTTGTTTTACAAAAGTCTATTTCGATTAGAATGAATCATCCTCGAGCACCCATTAAAATCAGCATCAGCACCCTTGGATTGGGGTGCATTGCACCTAGCACCCCTTACACTTCACACCCCTATAGGGTGCTTTGGTACAGGGGTGCTCGTTTGCACCCTCAAAGGGTGCTCGTCCTGGGACAAGTGCTTTACACCCCTAAGGGGTGTAAAAAAGTTTAGTGTGCGTCTGGTGTCTCAGCTGTAGATGAGCAATTTAGCCAGTGCGGTACAACCGCAAACCTGTGGTCTTTAACGTGCAGCACGCAGTAGGGATACACGACCGCACGCCGGTACGAAGCTAATCCAGATCGAAACGGGCAGGGGCGGGGTGGCTTCTGCAGCGCGAGCTTTCGCTCCAAGTGCTCCGAGCTGGTGCGCGCTAGACCACGCACTCGGCCGTCGATCGTCTCGAGGTAATGTAACGTAATAACATTATATAAATAATAAATTTGTTGAAGGACTGAACGACTCAATTTTTCAATTCTTTGATTGTAATATTGCGGCAGCCTATTGTACTTACTGTTGATGAAGAGCAATATGAGGTGAAGAGGTAATGATTAAATGATGAGGCTCTATAAGGACGACGACATTAGTGGGTGTCTAACCACAACGTACAGTGCCAGACTTGTTTCAAGTATCGTGTAGCCAAAGACTTTCTTCACCCGCAGCAGAATATGGTAGAATCAATGAGGATGCTGCTTTACAACTGTACGTGGAACAGGAAAACTGCACTGTGCAGAAGTGCGGTTTATTCGTTAATATGAGGGACGGATTTCTAGCAGCGTTCCCTGATTGACTACTTGGAACAAATGGCCTCGTTGACGTAAAGTGTCCCCGTTCCAAAAGATTCTTAAAGCATACTTAAACCGCAAAGGAGTATGAGGCGAAAAATAAGAAAAAGGAGCCTGGTATGAAAGGTACAAATCACCACCATGGCTTCTACTATCAAATATAAGGGCAATTACTCAATACACAATTGGAGTTTTGTGATTTAGTTATATTTACATTCATGGGCATTGATATCCAACGCAGTGATGTGATTGCTGCGCCAATTGCGCCAAACTGCGCCAAGGGGCTAACTCTGCTACATCCTGCTACATTTCGCCAAAATATGGCTAATCTGCGCCAAGCCTGCGCCAAAGGACCAATTTTGGTCGCCTTTCAAAAACGAAACTAAACTGAGAACCGTAATTGAGCATGCGTGAGCTAAGTGGCACAAGACGCCGCCCGACACAAAATACCCTGCATCAATCGACTATTTGGTCTGGCATGATTTTTTCCGCCGTTATGGTGTACTAGAACTGTCTCGTGTTTCGCGCTCTCGTCGTCTCGGGAATCTCGTCTCGCATTTTTTTCGTTTTTCTTTTTTTTTTTTTCTTAACTTTTTAGCAATAGACGCGGGCGTGTGCGAACGTTCCGACGTTAGTGTGCCGGGTGCCAGCCATGCCGTCATGCTGTGAAACAAAACCACGTTTTTGCGCGGCGAGAGCTACTTTGCGAGCTGAAGCGCTCGCGCGACCACAGTCGCCGTGGTCGCGCGACGTCGTGTGTTGCCGTCCCCACGTCGCTGCAGATATGGCGCTTTCTAAACTGAAACGCATCGACATTGCTCTTGTTTAAATCATACCGCTGCTACAAAAATCCCCCTTTAACTCAATGACTGCTTGGCGAAGTTTTGCTTACCGCGAAAGAAAGTGGATCACGAGAAGTGAGCTAAAGCTCACTTCTCGTGATCCTCTTCGTCTTACTCTTTCGTATATATTTTTAAAGGCAATGTCTGCACGCTGAACCCGCACACCGCGCTCGTTTGTCTCGAGTTCAGTCGTTGCACAGAGCGCTACAAGAACTTTTTGACCCTGATTCGCAATGTCTAGCATCGATACGCTCAGGTTCTTTTTTTCTGTGTGTTTAGCCTGTACCTCACCTGCCGGCCTGGCAAGCACGCGCCGCTGGACTGTTTATTGCCGTATGCTGGACAGTTACATTTTGCATACTATTT